TGCTATCTTCTTAAGAAGGCACGCTGTGCCCTGTCACCTATCTGATCCCTCCAACATTCAATTAGCCAAAAAACAGAGATGAATAATGTATCAATTATACCCTGGCTTTTCAACCCAAGAAAAATCCCCAATCCCCCTCGCCCCAAACATTGCAGGCCGAAGCCATTAAATAACTGATTATGGGGAAACAATTATTCAGCAATTATTGTAAGCAGTCAACATATGTAAATGGTAATGACTGTAAGCATACTTGACTGTTTTTTAAATACTATGCTCACATTTACAGAATCAGTACCTTTTGAAAAGGCAGGGAGAAATATAGCCCTCAAAAAAGCCCATAAATTCATTTAACTACAAAGAAAAAGTAACTTGAATTACTGCTGGAATAAACTTATTACTAAGTTTAGAACTGACTATAAACTTATAAGATCTCACTCTCTTTGAACAAATTTGTTATTCTTAATATTTTAAAGAAAAAAGTACACAATTGTTATCAGCTGTTAAACTTACAAAGAATAATCACATCTAATCACACAAAATATTTCAACAGTTCTCCAAATTTTGTTTTAAGTTATCAAGTAAGGAGCCCTAAACTCTAATACTCTGTACTGGCTATGAGGCCACAAGACGACCAACTTTGTCTTTATTGGAAAGAAATTAAATGACAGTGACTTCACATACTTGCCAGAATCCTTCAGTCTGTCTTATATTCAGGACAAAACAAATGCTTAATATTTGATAAAATATTCATTAAAATACATATTGTTTAGTACCTTCCACGTTGTCTTCCCGTGGTTAAAGAGGTCCTGGCACTCAAGCAAATACAATTAAACTTCATGTTGTACTCTACCGAACAAGCTTAAATTTGTCAAGTATGAAATTTATACACTGTATTCTGATCAGCAGCCCAACCAAAGAAAGGAGATTAATATTACCACTGCAGTGAGATATCAAAAGATACAGACAGTAATTTGGAGACACTGATTCTGATTGTCTACTTCTGGACCACTGGAGTGTTTCAGTAGAAAGCATGATATAAGAGAAAAACTATTTCAGACAAAAATACTGATATAAGAAGAGGACTGACCATTGCAACATGTAAGACTGACCTGCAGATAAGAGACCTAAATGCTGATCAATGTTGTACTCTTCTTGTATAACTTGAACAAAAGAGGCCAAGTACAGGAAAGAGACAATCACACAACTCTGTTTTCAAGTTAAGAACTCCAGAATATTTTTAAGTTAGGTTTCCATGGTAGCATTCTTTTACTATGCCTTCCTTCTGCATGACATTGTCCTAGAAGGATGACCATGATCACACAGAAACTAAGTGCAAATAACATGGATCATAAGACACCTGAGTTTCCAGTTTAAGAACAGTCTAGCATTTGTGGATTAGACAGCTCCAGAGCAAAATATCTCCTCTTTAAGCCTTCTTTTTTTAAATTATTTTTAACCAGTAAATTTACAGCATCCTCCAAGCTCCATGGGAACCAAGGTCTACAATACATTCACTTCAGTTCTATTTTCTAGTGCAAAATCTGGAATTCCTTTTCTTGCAAATCATTATAAAATTTGCTCAACTTATCTTACTGTGCTTTTGCTCTTGGAAGCAAAGGTAAAACACACTTAATTGTAACTTAAGTAGTTGCTAAGTTTAAGAAAGTAATAATTCTTGAGTAGAGTCAATGCAGTTGTATTGACTGATGAAGTTTCCTCAAGGGAATCACTGCCTGGCTAAATGATGCATTGCAAGAGGCTCTGAGAAGAAATTTTTTAATTAATCCTAGACAGATCACAGTAGAATACAGTGCAAGGCTGCAGGTGTACATAAAGATACTTCTTACATCTTTTCCTTCCAAGAATGGCAATAAAACAAGCAGCAAATGCCACAAAAATACCTATATGTGGCATGGTTTGATATAGAGGCCATGATCAGCATGTCCCATGGTTATGTTATGCAAACCCACCTGTGTTTCCGGCTATGAGGAAAGTAATTTAAGGCATTCTATATCTAGAAAGCACTAGGATGGCATCTGAAAGTATGTATCATGAAACACTAATACTCATACAGTTACTATATATATTTGGAATGGTTGCAATTTGTTTTTCTGGCATATTTTGAGGCTGCTGCAGAATTTTTATTTTGCCATTCTTTCAAGGGAAACAAACCAGCTATCAAATCTACTCCAATGTGAGATGACTATATATCAACTAACTGTAACAACACTTTAAATGGAGGGGTGCTCAATGACTTTAAAAAAGAGAGAGACAAGTTTCAAAATTGCAAAGCATCCCATCCTTACAAAACAGAAAGAAGGAAAGATGAATGCACAGAAAGCCGTCCTATCGAAGTTCCCAAACCTTTGCCTTGATTTGTGACAACATACAATACACAGAGTGAAAATACACAAACTGATAAGAAGTTAAACAATTAAAAATTATGTAATCTAGTACTGAAGAGGTTTTAAGAAAGTTACACTAATTGAAGCTGAAAATTGATGCAGACCTCTGACAAGAGCAGACAAGAGAAGATGCTGATCTTAAAAATTCAAAGACTTGAATGAATGCTAAGGAAAAGAGACTCCTGACTCTGAACTAGCACCAAGATGTTTGTCACGCATAGAGCCAAAATTTGAAAAGCTTGGGATAAGCAAGACTTATCCATGGAAGAATCTGCTGTATTAGAGTCTGAAATAGTCAGTGGATTTTTTTTTTTCAATTTATTTTAATTCACACATGTGAAACATATGTAACTATGCTCTTGGTATAAAGCTTTGCAATGCAAAACATGGAAACAAATAAAGCAATTATATCAGCCAACCAGAGCAAAAACAACTTAACCATTCATTGTGCAAATAACAAAACACTTGCTTAAGTCCCTGCATTTACTAATGAATTATAGGCATGTAAGTAACATAGTAACTATTTTAGCTACACAGTAGACTTGCAGGTCACACTGTATTACCCAGCCTGCCATTCCACCTTATGTGGCAAGAGCAACTATGCAGCAGGTTTGCAGAAATTCTCTGTAATATGTGATGTACACATCACATTGTGATACAGTTTTAAAAAATTTAGTTTTGCAAGTATACCATGCATTAATACTATATAACTATTACTCAAACAAATCTGTGAATCCCTACAGCTTGACTGGCTTACATCTCTCTTGGACAGATACCCAAAATCTACAGTCAGGGCAACTCTGATCATCATTCTGTGCCAAAAAAATATTCAGCTTTCACACAGAAAAGCTTGCTACTGTAGATTAGTTTTTCAGGTTCAGCTTTAAGGAAGATAAAACACACACACAAAAAAAGAACTGTCAAACTGCTAGAAGGAAAAATAGTTGTACTGCCTTTTCCTTCTGATGTATCATAGGTCCTGATAAAGTCTTTGTTTCACACCAGTCAAGATCCTTGTTTCTGACACATCTTTCCTTACAACGTGTAAAAAGCAGTAGTCCAACTGACAATACCCAGAGTGGACTACAGCCAGTCTACAGCCCGAGTCCTCCCATTTGGCTAGGCCAGGGAAACACAAGAACACAACTCAGCTTGCTGCAGGAACAATAAAACATAATGCAGCAGGGGCTGCTACTGGAGCAGGAGAAGAGACTGTGGCTGGGTTTTTGCCCTGCAACCTCTGTCTCTACCATGTGTCCACGTGGCAACAGCCAGTCACCTCTCAGGTCTGGATCCCTGCAACCTGTACTCCCAAGAAAGCAGCTAGACAGCACTTCTGTAACAGACAGCATCAGAGAGAGGAAAGTAAATTCATCATCCCAGGAGAAATGCTCCTCCTAGTGCAAGAAAAGACTTCACTGCAGTGAATTGCTAAAAACACACGGTAAAAGCGTTCCTTGTTTCCTTCTCATCACTTTTAAGGTTAGGTACGCAGCCCAATGTGGAGGGGCCACCTCAGCTTTGCTCCTCCCCACATTGGGCAGCTATAGCAGAGAAGTCCTTGAGCAATTCACACTATGTCCCTACCCTGCAAAACATCCTGAAACTGGCATTCAGCCCACAGTGCGTAACATGCTACACCACTTAGGGGGAGGGTGTGGAGGAGACTATTTAAGGTCAGGGAAGAAGTTTGTGGTAGAAGAGAAATGAACCCAGATCTTTTGAAGCCTCAGACAGTACCCTAACTACTGGCTATGCTCCCTCTATTATTTTGGAACTTATGCTCTAAGCCAGAAAAGCAGAGTTTGTGGTTTCCCTATTTGAGTTCTGTGACAGGACAGTTCGAATAGCTAGAAAAGAATGCTCACTCACAGAATAGTCTCAAATAACCTTTTTCTTTTTTTAAAATGGTCCTCTCATTCCTGCAACCCTTCTGAATTTGAAACTGAAATGAACATTTCAGCCTATCACAATCTTGCTTCTAGTGAATCTTGGCTTCTAGACTAATGAAGACAGACCAAAACAAGGTTCAGAACTGTGAGCAAGATGCTACATGAACACTGTTTAGTGAAAGAAAGCTAGTTTTCTGTTTCTAGAAGTAACTAGTACATAAATTTGCCAAATTAAGTCAGACCCTCTTTTTTTTTTTCCTTCTTAGTTGAGCATCCCATCTGCCACAACAAGTATTAGCAGGTATTGTGCCTTAGTACTGAAGTGTCTTCAAACCCATGCAAAATGTTAGTGAATAGCAGGTAGAAATTACACCCCTACTGTCAAGCCTGAATATAGGCCTGAAGACTTCTGACACTGTATTATGCTACCATCTACTGGTTCACGTTAAATTGAACCTCTGAACTTTCCCTTCAACTCATTCACCCTCCAAAAAAAAAAGAAAAGAAAAAAAAGAATCAGTTTCTACAGAGGGTTAAAATTATATTTCTGTAGCAAAATACTAACTTGAAATTTTCTAAGGTCATTTCACAGTTCTACTCAGCTTTTGCCTTCTTTTTTTTAAGGAGGTGCAAGAGTAACTGTTACGTATGTTCAAAACGCTTTTAAACAAGATATACCAAACTCATCCACTCATTTACTTACATTCGGCTAGTTTCAATGTTTTCAGAGTGAGGTTCTCCTGGTGATCTGCAAATACAGAAACAAAACCTTAAGCATTGTTTGTTATTTTAATTTTAATTTTCATATTACAATATGAAGAGTTAGGAAAGGTGGAAAGCGACCATAATGTATTATTGCCACTAAAAGAAACAACTTTTATGCACTTGCACATTTAATTTGTTTGACCAAACTCTAGAAGACAGTTTATAAAACCTGACAATATAATTCAGCCAAATTTCTCTAAGGAGGACCACACTTTTTCCCCACAGCTTACACAGCAGCAGTCATTAGAGGACAGTTCTGCTGGCAGTACTTCCGTATTGAGGTTGCATAGTGCACCAGTTCTGGGCTAATTCTTCATAACCACTTCTGTAACCAAAACGTATACTCAAAAGTTTATCAGTGATCAACTGTTACAAACAGATTCTCTGCACAGCTGAACTCTAAGAAGCAGCACCTCAGAAGCAGGTCTCAACAGAATCTTAAAACAAATTTCATGTCTCTCTCTACTTGAATTTACGGACATAATCTCACAGGCAGCTTTCTGTTTCTTCCTTCTAGCCAACAAGTCAGCCAGTAATATCCAGAATTAGGTGTTATTGCCTGGCATTTTTGAACACACAAGCAGCACCTGTGTTCAGCTTGACAACCCCCTTGACTTAAATTACTCTGTAAATTAAGGGGTATAGTTCCATATTAACTTAAGTAGGCTAAGTTACAGCTATTTAGCTCCTCCTTATTCCCATCATCTTCCTTATGCCAGCACTGATTCAAGAAGTTAATATTTAATTTTTTTTTAAACAGATTATTTTTTTCCTTCCTTCAGGACCTCCCCCTACCCGGTGAGTTTGTAGCTAGGTGAGAGTTTGTAGCCGGATGAGCCAGGAGACAAGGTAGTACAAATGCAGCAGTTTTGACTTCAATCACCTTAAGCTGCCTTGAAATCATATCCTGAAGAATCTTACCCAACCTTCACTTGCATATAAATCTTAGTACAGTTGACCAGAACTGCCACGTTGGCTATATTGCACGAGTAGTGGTAATAGAGCACAGCCATTACAGTAAAACTCTGTAGCTTACATGAACAAAAATGTCTTTCATGACAGAGCTTTCTGAAAACAGAAGTAAGCTAAAATCTGCAAATAGAACTCACTTTGTAGGTTTCAACAGAGTTTACTCGGGGACTTCAGTTAGCACAGCTAAGCAGGCTTTGCTATAGCTTTACGGGGAAAAAATCTTTGTTTATAGGAATGGAATTTCTGAATTTCTCTATTTACTATATGATTGTCTATACTACTCTAAACACTATTGGAAATCTCCACCTGTAGCCTGAAACATTTCCTTTTTTTCTATGTTTCATTATGCTACCTTACTGGATGGTCCCTCCTATTAAAGCCTGGACTGTTCTCTGAATTCTCTACTAAAATCTTAGTTCCTTTACTGACACACCAGATCTTAGCAACTTTCTGGATTTTACCAAACTGTACTATGTTAACAGGCCCAGTGCCTAGAAAGCATTTCTGGCAGACAACTTAAAATTCCTAGGCTAGCTGGATACTATGCAGTGACAGATGATGCAGAACACAGGAAGTTATTTGTTTATATTCCACCGAGTTATAAAATTCAACTGACACTAGGGACAGAATTCTGAACTTACTACCCAACTAACTTTATACTCATGCTTAAAATGCAAATACCTTTTAACTGGAAAATAACAAGAACTGGCCAGTGCCAAAATTTCGTCTCTATTTATTCCCTCCAAATGACATTTCCCTTACTCATTAAAGTTCAGGACCGATGAGATAGCTGCTGACAAAAATAATACTCAACAGCAAAACAAATCAAAACTTCATTTCCCTTCAACTCCAGTGACCAAAACAAGTCACTAAATACTTTGAGAGAAAAGAACCTTTTTTCTAATTATTCACCTAAGCATGTAGGTGCTAGAAGCCATACAACCTGAGGACCAGTGGAAAAATAGCAGTGGCTAGCTCCTCTGTTCACACCGAGGACTTCAGAAACTGATAGCAAAGAGCTTGGAAGTTTGAGGTGGTTGCTATCTTTTAGTCATAAGAAATACAACACAATGAAGCTTTGCATAAGAGCAGTGCTTTAAGTTGCTATGAAAATACAAGTGAACTAGTGGTATTAAAACAAAAACATCAAGAGTATCAATCACTTTGAGCCTTTAAAATACACAGAAGTATGAAAAAATACAGAATAAGAGCAGATTGGCATCTAAACTTATCACGTAAAAAAGGTAGCCTGGTGATTTGCAGTACAGTCATGTAAACACAGCTATCAGTATATCCAAAAATCTTTCCCT